CTCATTTTCATAGTTTGCATGAAAAATATCAAACGTAAACGTGAGGTGATTTTTCGAGAAAAAGACAAATTCTAACTACTAACACAAAATGATTTCGTTTAACTACCAACGGAAAATCATTTAACATAAAAACGATGGCTATGCATTCATTAAAATCATTTTTCTATTTTGTCCTTCGGAAAACGATAAGCCATGCTCGACCCGGAAACTTTCAAGTCAGTCGGCTTGATGTTAGCAAATGATAATTGTTTCCAAATCTCCGGGTTTTCATCCGGCAAACTTCCGAACAATGTGTTAGTTGTGGCAGCTGAAGCAGAAGATTCTGGCACTGGAATCGGCGAAGATGAACCGGCTGTTGCTTTCGAGCTAGCGTTGGGTTCAGGTGCGGCAGAAAATACATTCGGATTCTGTTCATTTCTTGCACTGCGCACAGGTAACCTCGGCGGCTGATAGATAGAAATTTCCTTGCCAATTCCCGGCGTGTCCTAAATATCGTTCACAACCTTTTAGTGCCTTTTTTGTTACGCATTACAAATATCAGCACAGCGACGAGATAAGTGTTTACATTTATAAATGAAATTCAATGTTTTAATCAGTGTCTAAAAAAATTAAAAATAACGTCAACCATATAATTTGTAGAACGTTACAGGGTAAAATGGTAGGTTCAGCATAGTTTTTACTGTCGTCCGCCACTGACGCAAAGATTCGACATGCAAAGTCTTACATCAAATATGTTCGATATGTTCACAGCTACCACAGAGGACAATAATCGAAAATCTCCTCACCCCATCTTACGGTTTAAGATGGAAGTTTAGATGAACATTGGTGGTTGACAAACTAGGGGCAGGTAAACTTTCGATTTCTGATATAACAAATACAAAAAAAGAATGATGTGACCAGGCATAAAAATAATCAAGTGCAATAAAATACCGGAAAACTTAAGTCTCTGTCGACCAGGAAAATGTCGTTGAATTCATCGTAGTCGCAGCTTGGGCCGCCACTGCCAGTGGGCGTAAACAATTCATGCAGCGCATCAAAATCATCATCTCCCAATGGTGTCGCAGACCGCGTACTAAACATCAAATTACGTCAGTTAGACGGAGATCATCAATGCAAGAGACGACAAAACTAAATAAAAACTCACCTGCCAAAAGACTTAGCCAAGCTATCGTTGTCACATGCAGCAGCAATGTTGCTGGACCTCGTTTCACCATCATTTTTGATCTGATCCAAAAGTTGTTGAATATTACGCAGGCCGACAGCAGGGTATGATCCGTTTGTGCTCACAAATTCTGCAAATGCTAAATCCAAGTTAACTGTGTTAAAGGAAGACAACAACGGTTTCAATGCACTGAAACAATTTTCTGCCAATTTAGCATCTGGCAGATCCACTCGTCAGCGTCGTCTAGTTTTTGCCCATGCAGGATTTCAGACAAGATTCTGATCAACAGACACCCTCTGCCGTTTCCTTCGTGACAAGAGATTTTCCTCTCACTCCTATTCGATTCAGGCATCGCACAGGAGTTTGCACCAACGGATAAAATGCGCCATTCGAAAGACCATCAGAGGCCGATTTAACAGCAAAAGTGGAGTTCATTAAAGTGGTGCACTATCTCCTTTGCTACTGAAGAGCCAGGCGAAAGTGATACAAAAGTGTTGTCATGAAATAAAACGAATCAGTCGACGACAGCTGAAGACCCCTATCAGTATTCCGTAATAACGAGTATTTCGATATCGATCGCCGCAGAACGTCCTTGTAAATTGGATACGCGTATTCACTCAGGGTTTATGGCTGCAAGTCCGCACGAAGATTACGTCTATGGGAGTACTAGTCGCTTCACAACTAAGGGCCAAATGAATGATTCTAAAGCATGGTCTGATGAAAGATGGTGCCATAAACCGACATCACAACAGAACTGAGGAAGCTGTTGAACTTAGGAAAAACCGAATCTGTTCAACAAACCTTTACTTCTGTTTTATATTTTAAACATTACGAAAATTTAGAGGTACAAGTTTGAAAAATTTGATACAGAAGAAATTGACGTGAAAGCCAAACGTCTGATGTCTATGTCTATTAGCAGGCCTCCAATATACAACATGCTACACTTTAGCGATTATATACTTTAATGTCTGATACGCGACGAACGTTTCCCACGTGTTTCTATGTAACGGCAGAATATTTAAAAAAAAACTGGTACGGGTTTTGCTATGTACAAATCCAATGTACATGTTTCTAAAATACGGCGTGAGTGAAGAGCCTTACAAAAAACAAACTGAATAGATTGGCGTTGCTTGCTTATGACTTACTGCCAAAATTGGAGCAGGCTTCTTCAACGGAAGGCTCTTGGTGTTCAACGAATCCGGTGTTGCATGTGGCGACCTTCTCTGTGTCCAACCGCTGCCCGACCGCTGCCGATCCATCGTTGATCGAATCGATTTCATCAGTTACATCAGCTATGATAGGACCACCCGAAGCGCGATGCTTCAGCTCCTGTTCGAGTGAACGCATCAGCTCAGACACGTCGTTGGTACCGGTGACGCGCATTTTCTTGCGGCTGTTTTCCTTGCTGGAGGAGGTGATCATGCGCGGGGCGATGTTTAGCAATGGTCGCTTGCCGACGTTTTTCTCCGGCTGTGCCAAAGTCAGCAAAAATTGAATGATCTTACTGACCAATTGATGCTGTTTCATGTTCAGTCGGCGTATCTCAGCAA